CATAGCGACCCTGTACAGGGTTTCCGAGGCTGTAAATCTTTATGGGAGCAGAAAGCCTCATCTTTCTCCCGTGGAACAGCTGGTAGTTTCAAACTCCTGACCCTGAGGTTCGCAGCCCGATTCGTAACCACTACGCTACCAGAGCTCCTTGGATGCAGTCCTAAGATGGTACGGCTGGATAAGTACTGGACTGCTAACCACATGGTTGGTGGTTCAAACCCACCAACTGTTCCTTGGAAAACTATACTGGGTCGCTGGATCAGAACTGACTCGCTGGCACTTACCAACAATAGCACTGCACTGCAAACCACAAGGTTGGCAGTTCAAACCCACTCTACAGAGCACCTGTGTGTCTATATAGGCTTGATGGCATTTAACAAAAACAGCATTGCATACATTAGAGCACTATGTTTAGATGCAAGAATAAAATTAATTATTTAATATATTGTGGAGGAAAATCTACATTTTTTTGGTTTTAACCATTCTGCTTTCAAACTGTTAATGTGCTCTACTGCTAACTGAAAGGTTGGAAGTTCTAGTACATTCAAATGCATCTAAAGAGAGGCCTCGTGAGCTACTTGTAAAAAAAAATCGGCCATTAAAAACCCTAGCAACCACAGTTCTACTCAAACATTCATGAGGTCTCCATAAATAGCATCTATTTGTCAGTAACTTTTAATGGGGAAGAGCTTGCTCTTGACCCAATGGACCACCACTAAAATAAAGAATCCACACAACAGGAAGGACCATGAGATAAAGTTGTTGTCCTTGTTGTTGTTAAATGCCATCGAGTTGGTTTCAACTCATAGCGACCCTGATAGGGTTTCCATGGAGCCGTTGGTGGGTTTGAGCCGCCAATGTGGAGGTTTGCAGATCAGTGTCTATCCTACAGCACCACACCAGGACTCCTTTAAATGAAGAGATGGAGGGAAGATGCTTCTAGTATAAATATTGACACATGTGGGAAACTTACACCCCAGAAAACCCCTCTAGTTTTAGTAATCTTGTGTCTGCCTGAAGACTGAAATAATAAGGACCAGTGTATTCACCATTAGTCCTTATTATTTCAGTGGTATTCATCAGGACCCCTAGTGTACAGCTGTAGGATCCGCACAGTACTGCAATTCACAAGGTCAGCAGTTCAAAACCACCCGCTTCTCCTCGGAAGCTCTATACAGGGCCACTGTGAGTCAGAATGGGCTCAAAGGCACTTAACAACAACAGTGTGTTCACCTCTCTCTACCTCCCTTTCCCCACCCCCAGGGGAGGGTAGGAAAGT